TAGGGGTAAGAAGACCGGCTGAATTCCGAACGTAATGAAGAAAAAAGGAAAAGAAAAAAAATCCTGGAAAAAAAAAAAAAAAAAAAAAAGAAAAAAAATAGATAACTAATGAAAAAAATATACAAATTCTTTGTCGGTTTTGGACTCAATACTTTTTAGGGTCTGGTCAGAATCTACTAAGATTTAACCCAATCCGCCCCATGGGAAACATTAGTGTAACGCTAAGCTCAATACGTACAGTAAACCATTTTTTATAGTAAAATTGAATGAAATATTTAACATTTTTTACAGGAACTTGTTAATTAAGCAAAAAGAATTATTTTTTATATACATGTAATTCTATATTAAAAATTTTTACAATATATAAAACAAAACAATAACATGCATATAAACTAACACACGTCAAAAAGAAATAGTTCTTCTTTGATATAATTAATATACAAACGAAACTTCTAAATGTGAGCATTATATTAAGATAATATTGGTATACCTATTTTTAAACAACAATGTTCACAAAACCTTGAACTTCTATCAGATCCATATCGAGTGCAATTTGAACAAAAGATACCCCCACAAGTTTTACAATGAATTTTTCTCTCTGAAACCAAAAAGACAAAATTATATTAGTTTTGATTAAACTTATCGTGGCGGCCAAAGCTGAAAATTTGATTATAAAAATTTTAAATCCTTTGTGGAGTATTTTTTTTAGTTAGAATTCAGGGTTAGAATTGTTAATAAAAGAATAAGTGGGTTTTAGTAGATTTTATAAATCCCTTGAATTTCAGCTTCAGTCCCCATATATTTTATGCTTAATGCAACAAAAAATAAATCACCTAATACGGCAAATTTTACGAAACATTTTAAACAATTATCAGTTTGTCCATCCAACATCCAATGAGATTCTATTTTGGTATCAGGTAAAGTCCATGAATAAACTTTTCCAGATGAGTCTCCACTATAAAGAACTCGTTGAGTTCTAATAATTTAATCAAATATGATTACTTTTTAGAATACAGAGATAAACTTCAAATAAATTGTTAATATTAATTTAAATTACCCAGCTGGTAACAAAGCGACAACATCCGCTGCAGGTGATGGCTCTATTCTATTTTCGTGTTTTAATTTATGCCGCAGTTCTAAATTCCATTTACACGCTACAAAAACAGACATATTTATACTTCGTCCAGATTAAAATAAAATTAAATTAATCTTGAATTTATTTATACCTTTATTTCCGGTCAAATCTTTCTCGACTTTCAAGTTTTTATTCCATATCTAAATTAAATAGTCAATAAGATCCTTAAAAATTACATAGTGTTAATGGATATACATGCCTTTATTACACCTTTTTTGTGTCCAGTAATAATAATGTCATTGTCGAACCATTCATTTTGCTTGCCCTAAACATCAAGCACAAATCAGTTGCAAGATTAACAAATTCAGAAAAAATATATTTCATTTTACCTCGTAGAAGGTACAACAAAGAATTGGATCCGGAACTTGAGCGGTATTTTTAGCAACCAAAAGGTCTCCATTGATGCTCCACAAACGAATAATCGACCCACTACACGTTGCAATATCTCCCTATAATGATAATAACATTATTAATTGCTATTGATAATTATGGCAGCTTATGCTGAGAATTTGACCTATTTTATTATAAAATTATAAAATTTTTGGAGGCTTTTTTTGTAGCCTTTTTTTTTCACAGTTAGGTTGGGGTTTATGGTTAGTATTATTAATAAGAGAGTAAATATACTATAGATTTAAGTAGAGACCCTGAATCTCAGCATAAGCCGCCACAATAAATAACATTTTAAACCACTTAAAATTCGCTTACAGTTGTATCATTAATGGCAACAAACTAGATGTTTAGTGATAAGTAAATGTGGAACGTGAGTATGAAAAACATTTACACTTCATGTGATATAAATTTTGACATTGGATACCTGAACACCAGTTTCATGGCCCTGCAACTGCCTCACATATTTCATTCTATTCAAATCCCATATTATGCAAGTTTTATCCTATAAAAAGCATCAAAATATTAATAATATGCTGAAATTCAAGGGATTTATAAAATCTACTAAAACCCACTTATTCTTTTATTAACAATTC